GAGCTGGAGGAACTCGAGACCGACAGATGATTGCCAACACTTCCTCTGTGTGGGTGTGTGACCAGGTGTGTGTCTCATTACCATGCATAGTGTGTCAGTGTTGTCCAGGAGCCTGAGCCTCCTCGTTTACTCCGGGGGGAAGTTATAGATTACTGGCTGCAGCAGACGGGGGGCCACCGGAGAGCCACCGGAGCCCACAACCCAGCACTGCAGGCTGGGCACAGCTCTCAGCTCATCAGCCTGTCTCTGGAGGCTGCGGAGCTTAACCTGGAGCAAGGCTCTGATTAACCAGACTAATGACAGTAAGGCCCCAGGCTCCCACTGCCCAGCACTATAATCACTTCTTAAGGCCCTGACCAGTCGGTGTGTCTATACAGAGAGTGAGCAGCGGTGCAGCTTAATGGATAACTCCACCGACAACAAGCATTTTAAGTCAGCTGTCAATACAAGCCTTGAGAGCCGCTCACACAGGAGGAGAGTGACGTACGAGAGGCTGCGAATTCAGGCTTTGTAAATGCGTGTTTCCATGTTTGTCATCTGAATATGAATGTGTGTCACCGCAGTCGGCGATGTTTAATGAGCGCCGATCGATGATGCCTCATCTGCGCCTCCTTATCGGTAAAGCAAACATTTCATCAGCACAGCGGACCCCTCCACCCTCTGGTACACACTCAGATCCCTACAGTCAAACAGCACAAACCAAACCTTGTGTGCAAACAGGACAAAGATGCTCGCGCTCCTGTCCCACTAATACGGAGGATTACTCTGTGAGTGTAATAAGTGTTCACTGGTAGGGACGGTTGTGAGGGCAGGAGGGGAGGGAGGTCTGGAGGGGAGAACATGCCAATAGTGCTGACTGTGAGCAGAGTGATTTCTGACAAGTCTTAAATGAATCCCTGTGGGTGGGCATCCCAAACCTGCTTTATGACTGTTGGTGTGTGAGACACAGAGACAGCGGTAATAGCCTGGCGTTATAAGCAGGGTGAAGTCGATAAGTGATCTCACCTCTGCCTGAAAGAGAAAGAGAGAAGAGAGCTTGAAGTGCCAAGACAGCAGCTTTTCTATTTCTGTTATTGTAGGGAGTAACATAAACTGATTATCTGAAGATAATCCAGCATGAATCACCTAGTAGTGAAAGCGGCAGAGGAAGAGAAACGGTTAACTTTAATTTATTAAATATTTCCTTATAATGATCTTCTTAACATTTCTTTTGAAGTTAAATTTGGTCATTCTTTAAAACTAAATCTAGAGTTATTTAAGTTATTTAAAAAAAAAAAGTCTAACAGTACTCTCATTTGGCGGAAAACAGGCAGGGGATAACCTGAAGTAATGGTGCCCTGAGTGAGCGCCTCCTTTTTTTAAAAATTTACTTTAGCAAACAGATTAAACATTTGACCAATTTTTAAGTTTGCTGTAATGAATCCAAAATGGATGTTAATTCTGTTCAGGTCTGACTTGTCTTAGAATTGAGTTTTTAATGTTACACTAAACCAAAGAAGTCATATTTCCACAAATGTGTAATTGTTTAAAGCTCCCACTAACCAGTCAAACAAATGATTGACCATCTTTGGGGGATAAAAGAAAAAAAGGCCTTCACTGGAGAGAAAATACTTTTTTTTGTATAATTCTTTGGTGTGATAAAATAAAATCCAGCTTTGAGCAGGTAAACCTTTCCGGACCATCAATTTGTGCCGAAGAAAAAAAGTTGTCGTAGTGAAGACACAAGCCTGCAGGGTCTCCTATTGACTGACAGCTCTCACTAAGCCATCCACCCTCCTGCTGATCTCCAGCAGCATCCCGGACTCACCTGCCGTGTGCGTGCTCAGAACGGTGCGAGGCACAAACCACGTGTGCTCTGAGCTGCAGCTTCCCATGTGCAGCACAAACAAACCCATGCATGCTCTCACAGCAGCTGTGTTTCTGAATGGACCCAGCAGACATTGTTCTGCTGTCACTGACTCGTCTCACGGGCCCAGGAGACACACTGCTGACATTTACCACCTCTTTTGCACTCCCCCACAGCACACACACACACACACACACGCACACACACACGCACACACACACACACACACACTCTCCCTCTTTCCTTTCTCATTCTTTCCTTCTTTACTACCATTCCCATCCAGCTCCTCAATCTCTCTCCCTGTGTCATGATGGAGGTGAGGATATGTGTGTGTTAATGAGTGGCCCTTTAAGGCTATTAGGCTAAGATTGGTATGCCCAGAGTCCCTCATTACCCAGCAAGCATTGCCCCCCACGCGGAATGGTAATTGGTACGCAGAGAGGGAGGGTCGAGGTAACCGTAGAAATAATAGGAGGATAAACACGGGATAATTGGGCGGATCGAGACGGAGAGGAGCGATTGATCAGGATGATTTGTGTCAGCGCAAGGGAGAGAGAGTGTGCGAGGAGAGCAGGGAGGTTAAAGGTCACAGTGTTGCATGTGTGCACATGTATGTAGACTTGTAGCGTCACCTCAGGGTGAAATACATTTATGTGCTCAAAGATATAAAGAAATGTGTAGAATTAAAATGCTCAAGTTGCCTAATTCATTTCAATGAAGCTGCTGTTTTTCTTGCAGGCAATGTGGCTCACAGCCCAGGGCGCCAACGTCTTAGGGAGCAGCTCAGGAATTAAATCTATTTGCTTATTTGCTTGTCCATTGGAGAGTGGATTTCATTGTGTTCAAAGCAGGAAATAATGAAACCTAATGTAAACATCACAGTTACAGCCCAACATCATGAAACCCCCTTCAGTTCATGCCTAATGCTCTGTTCAGATGGTATGGAAGCAAAATCCTGTCCAGCTTCTTTTCCAGGTTAACTGCACAGAGGATGATGAACAAAATAGAAAAAAATAATAATTATTAATAAGTTTTGTGTTTGAGGTTGAAGTTAGTGGAATGAATCAGGTTTAAGTCTCGGACATTACTCAGTATCAGAGCGACAGCATGGAAGCAAATATTTATGAACTGGGAGCTGACTGAGAAAGAAAAAAATGCAGCTGTAAACTTCTGATTGTGTCTGATTGAAGGATCACACCTCAGCACTGCTTAAATGGCTATTTCTCTGTTGTTAAATTAATCTGATATGCATTCCGTAATCTTAAGTTTAAAAAAATGAAGATTCATACTTTTCTCAAAAATATTGTTGAAACTTACCTTTGTACAGCAGCAACATGTAGCAACTGCATTAGACAGACTTGTCAGCTTTTGCATAATTTATTCCTAAAAGCACTGTTTGTAATTATTGAAATATTTTCTCCGTTTCTGAATTGATAAAAAAAGTGGAGGTTCTTATTTATTTATTTTTTTACATACGACGGTTCCCTGATTTAAGAATTTGATGTTGACTTCATTATAAAAGGCAGTCAGACTTCAAGGTAGTTTCTCCACACAGTGTAACATCAGCATCACCTGCAGGATCCTTATATGAACAGCAAAGTTTACCATCTTTCTGTGATTGTTGAGATTTCCTTTCAGCTTTCTTTCTTAGTAATTTCTTAACATTCCATATTTTCAACAAAAATGCTTAAAAATAAACTTATTTTTAAAAAACAAAAACTAAATATCTTATTTGAACGCGTTCAGTTTCTATACTGCATTGGGTGCTTAAATAAGGATGTGTTGCTGTGACAGAAGTAGATGCTGAAGTTTGAATGTGATTAGGACACATGATGCTTAAAGATAACAACCAAAACATTAAGATAAAACATCAAACATAACTGATAAATACCTAGAGTGTGATTAATTTTAGATGAATAACGTTGATCGTTTTAATTCAAAGTTAAATGTATTTGTAATTAATTAATGTTCATTCTCAGTGGAACCCATGAAATTAAATGCAACAACTCTAGTTTGTCTTGTTCCCTTCAAAGTTTTGTATTTAAAACAAAAATCTTTAATTTACCTGAATATGGAAGGAACCTGGGAGCAAAATTTAAACGGTGGGTTAATGTCGCCCTCAAGTGATCACAGTTGACATTGCAACAGTAATTTATCTTTTTGCTTTCATGTGATTTTGAAATGTTTAAAATCCAATAAAAAAAGGTTTTTACTATGTTCTGTTAAGAAATAGTGGAAATACTGTCTAGTGTCATTTATAAAATTAAGTATTAAAACATTTTTACAGCATTACACTACTTATGTGATGCCACATTGAACACAGCGATCAATATTTAGGAAAAAAAAAAGTGGGACTAATGTAAATAATTCTTAAACACTGATGAAAACCATTCCAATTCCCCAAATACAAAAGAGAAATATTTGATTTTTCAGTATAACCTAACTATTCAAGATGGTCTTTGTGTTATTTATTTAAAATTTATTTCTTTGCTGTGTATAGCATGTCTTTGAGTCATTTCTGTTTTTTATGTAACATATATGTATGCAACGGTACCAGAAGTAGACCTACAATGCCTGACAACATTCAGCATTTTTTATCATGCTACAACCTCCTTCAGTGTATTTTAGTGGGATTGTATGTACTAGACCAGCTGAAAAAATAGAAGTGAAGTAGAAGAAAAAATAAACATGAATGAAGAAGGTTTTCCACAAATAAAAATCTGAAAAGTGTGGCACACACATGTATTTAGCCTTCTAAATAAAATCCAAAAAACTCCTTTTGGCAAACCTTGAAAATGCATGCTCTCAGACAGTTGTCAATACGAAGTGCCTGACTTTGGGCAGAGAGTTTTTAGGTGTAAAGCGGGTATGGATATTAAAATTAGAAAACAATTTATCACATTCATTCCACTTAAACGGTGTACTAGTTTGTGTCACTTTGTCAAATAAAGTCCAGATGCACTGAAGTGATATTTGTACTCGCAGAGTGAAAAATAAGGTGTGTATTTATATGTAAAAATAATAATAATAAAAAAGAGGTTTGATTTGATCCCAGTGGTTCGCATTTTGTGTCTAATGGGATTGTTGTGAAAACAAGAACCCTTATTGATCGGCCCTGATGACAGCACGTCGCGGCTGCTTATTGGCTGATACATGAGGACGGAACCATTCACCGAGCTGAGAGATATGACGGATTAAATACAACCAGAAAGAATTAGGTTTTGGGTTTCACTGCGGATTAGGGCCACGTGCCTCTGTTACGTGATTGGATTACAAATCTGGGCAATTTTACGAGAAATTAGCCTGATAATCTCACAGAGTGAGCGACGCAGCATCCCGGCCCATCTCTGTGAAAACAGAGACAAACGGCATCAGAAGATGACTGCGTGACGCTGCCATGGATGAATCCGCAACCATTAACACATTCTAACAGAAATGAGGACCAGCCTCGACCGTTCTTCTTCCGTTTAGTGTTCGCGTATCACCTCCTGCTTCATTGTTAGTCATGGTTTTGTTGCGGAGCTTCGTGCGGCTGACGGTAATGCTATGCCAGAGCGGATGGTGGGGAGTCGCGTCGAGCCCCACCGACGAAGGAGCGCTTCGCACCGGCCACGGCGACCACGGAGAGCCGGGCCATCAGGAGCATCACAAGGATTCCTACAGCACATTCGCCTCCGAGTTTCTGGAGTCCAGATATTTGTCCGATGACGGTAAGGATCTGGTTCTCTTTGGATGAAATCCAGGAGGGTATACGTGAAGAAAAATGTGAGCCTGCGGGGCCTACTAGGTTAAGAAAACCAAAAAGGGGAAACGTGCTTTGTGATGAGTGTAAAGGCTGTTCAGCACCTAGGCCAGCTCCCTGCTGATCCAGTCTCCTCCTCACCCACACCTACCACACTCAGCAGATGGCCTCTCCTCATTTGGCCCAGTTTACCATTAGAAACAGATGATAGCTGTTTTGTTTACGTATCTTGCAGGTTATCCATTCCCCACAGCTCCACCAGTCGATCCTTTTGCCAAGATCAAAGTCGGCGACTGCGGAGTTACCAAAGGCTGCATAAGGTCAGAAACATCACAGCCATTCATCCTCTGTTTCTAAACTGATGTGCTGCTGCATTTTATGGGCGTCCTCTTATCAGAGCTATAGGGTGCCTTACTATAGGATCCACTCTCCTTAAATCCTTCCCACATTTGGTGAAATTACGATCACGTGCATTTTGTTAAGATTTTGTGAGCTAGAGCAACTCAAAGCAGAGTTAAAATTATACACACTTTATTTATTTTTAAATAAATAAGACGTCAAAAAGTGAATCCAATATTTGCATCAAGTCCTGAGGCAAATCTTTGTACTACTGCTTTTGCTGGTACTGCTGCTGCAGCCATGGGGATTGATTAGGAGAGGAGGATTTCTCTTTCAACTTGCACTACAGAAGACTAGAATTTATCCCATTTTTATAGATACCTCAAGGTCAGTCTGACTGGATTAAGAGTGTCTGTGAAAAGCATCTTTCAAGTCTTTCCAAAAATTGTCAAGTAGATTGAGGTCTGAGCTTTGACTGGTTCATTTTAACACTGACTATGCTTATATCTGAACCTTTTCAGATATAAATGAAATATCTGGCTGTGTGTTTTGGGTTTCTGTCCTGCTGGAAGATAAACCTTCACCCCAGTCTTATATGTTTTTGCAGTCTCTAACACCAAATTACGCTCAGGTGAAATCCAATTATTTGTTGGCTGAAGTGACCTCTCAATTGATTTTACTGGATTTTATTTAGGGGTAGCAATTTTCCTTCCACTGGCACTTAACAACTATGATGTACTTTGTGTTTGTCTACCATATTAAACCCTGCTAAAATTTAATTTGTGTTGGTAAAGTGACAAAATGTGAAGAAGTCCAAAGAGTACAAACACTTTTCTAAGAAACTGTAAACCTAAAAATTCTTCGTAGTCTATTACTATGAATCTGAATAGGACGTATTCATTCGTTTAACAAAATGCCAGAGTTTATGTCAACCTTATCTCTGACAATACAAAACCTTTTTTGCAGAAGGATTTGCATGTGTCTTTTCTGTTGACGGATACGTCCTGTACATGTGCAGGTACGGGAAGCCAGGGTGCGATGCAGAGACGTGTGACTACTTTCTGAGCTATCGCCGCATCGGTACAGATGTGGAGTATGAGATGAGTGCAGACACAGACGGCTGGGTCGCCGTGGGTTTCTCCTCTGACAAGAAAATGGTGAGAAGCTGTGCAACACCCGCGATCACTTCTCCTGTTTGTAAATGTTCATATTCATATTTGCTTTGCTAATCAGAACATGCCTTTTTTTTCTAAAGTAACGTGTCAGAAAATAAATAGTTTGCTGTTTGATTAACCAGGTTTGTATTGACTGTATGATAATGAAAGGTTGAGAAACGGCAAACATTAAGCAATGTGTTAGACAAGTCAAGAAAGTTTTTTTTTTTTTATCTTAGACATGTTTTTGTTTAAACATTTATTTAACAAACAAAAGTACAAGATATATGATTAATAGAACCTCTTTCTAGGACTTTCTCTCTCAAACGCAGTTCGAGAGGGTAAAAAAAAAGATACATTTTAGGGAAATTACAATAAGGACCATTGTAGAAGTACTGCAGATTAATCAGTGACTATAAAAGAAACATTCATGGTTCGGTCCATCAATGAATCTTGGCTTTCTACCTTGTGTACACCGTGCAGTTCATTCATCATGTAAAACACACAGTACACTGTTATTAAAAAATAAAAAAAGTATTGTTGGAAGAGCTCAGTGCCTAAAGGCAGAGACTGGACTTCTACTGGATACACATAATCCTCAAGTCGTCTGATGGTGCAGCATAAATAAACACATGAGCAACATCTTTGGATGCAACTTTGGTCGCTCTACACCGTCTGTCACTTCATCTACAAGTGCTACATGAAGCTGTTTGTTGCTACTCCAGTCAGAAACTGTGGTGACTATGAAATACTCTCACATGGGCAGATTATGTGTGCTTTACTCACCTATTTACTCACCTTGCTTTGCTCTCCTTTTGAAGACTTTTGGCTCATCTTAGGGGAACGACAGGTTCCCAAAGCAACAGCTAATAAGGCACACTGTACTTCGTTAGTATAAAATAGCATGCATGTTAGCACTGAAAGTGTTTCATTGAAATATACTTAGACATTATTTACAAAGTACTTACAAATATTATTGTAATGTATTTATTTTGAGATTTGGTAAAGCTTCCTGAAATATACACGTATATTTTTTTATATACTGTGTATATTTTTTTTTACTTGTAATATGCCTTGAGACAATATTTGTGGTGAATCGGCACTACAACAATACGCACATTAAATATGTTGATATAGTTTTTAAAGAATAATTGGCATCAGCTAAACCAGCATCACCAGTATCCTCAAATTACATCACCACTAAACAAATATTTTCTTCTCTCGATGAACCTTTCTGACGCAGGGTGGAGACGATGTGATGGGGTGCGTTCATGATGACAATGGACGTGTGAGAATCCACCATTTTTACAACGTCGGCCAATGGGCCAAGGAGATCAAGAGGAACCCGGCTCGGGATGAAGAAGGAATCTTCGAGAACAATCGGGTGACCTGCCGTTTCAAACGACCGTTGTACGTCCCGAGAGAGGAAACGCTGGTGGACTTGCATCTTTCCTGGTATTACCTGTTTGCGTGGGGACCTGCCATTCAAGGTACGTAAGAAGACCAAAACATCAGTCTGACTTCTTTACAAGAAATTCCAGCATAACATAGTCCCCACTGCACCAACAGGTTCCATCACAAGGCACGACATCGACAATCCTCCGGTCAGTGACCGCATGATCAGCATCTATAAGTATGAAGACATCTTCATGCCCTCCACAGCCTATCAGACCTTCAATTCTCCAATCTGCTTGCTGCTCATAGTAGCTCTCACCTTCTATTTGCTCATGGGGACACCATAATCAAGCACAGCCAATCACACTGGATAGGAGGGAGTTGATCGTGCAGCAATAAAAAAACTAAAATGTTGGTTGCCATAATGAAATGTATACTTTGCACAGATAAGGTCTATCTTAGATGTATGGAACATGATAGATTATACAAGCATCTCTCATCTTGACAAATGAATAAACACATGTTATGGAGGAGAAATGTGCTTCAGATATCTGATAATAGAGTAGTTTCAAATTAAACAGTCTTTTTCAGCATCTTTTGATTTAGAAGACAGTGTTTACACAAGCCAATGAATAATCTGGTAGTCATTTCAGGATCCTGCTGTTTGCTCGCAACTTGTGTGGAAACTTCCTGGAATCCAAAGAGGGAAGAAAAATTACACGAAAGAACATCTTTCCTGTTCCCTCACAGTGTTTGTGTGGAGACAAGCCAACATCCTCCTCAGCCACAGCAGTGACTTGTTTATAAAAGCAGAGAAAACACAACTGACGATATTGTCTTACATAAGCAATATTTTATTGAACTGGTAATACTTTATTTCTGCATCATGCTGTTTATGTAGCATTTTAATCACACATTGATATTCCTAAAAAAATTAAAATGTTCAGGACAGAAAATAAAAAAAAAGAAAGTTCAAGTATAAAATATAAAATAAAATCTTTTCTCTGTTTGAATCTATTGCCTTTTTTCCTCACACAGTACATGCCTTTGTAATATTTAAATGTACTCATAACAATGTGTGTTTAGCATTACAGGCTGCTTGAAACAGAATAGTTACACATCAACTTCTTTCTATTTCTACCTTATAACATTTTAGCAGCTGTTAAAAAAATTGCTCAGTATTTTTTTTTCTTCTTAATGAAGTCTGTTTCATCTTAAACTTAATTTCTTCTGATGTGAAAAAAGGTTTTGTTTTTGTGTGTCTGCTTAAATAGTTCTTTAGATAAACAGCCAAAGAACGATAAAAAAATTAATAATGAGGAAATACTGAAGATTAAAGGGCATGTTTCATTTTCCTACATTTCCCATGTTTCCCTGGAACAGTCGCTATTTCTACGTCATATGTTTTCCTCCGTCACGCGGCAGAGCCGTTGGAAGGACTACCCGGAGCAGCAGCGCTGTCATGGCAGATGAAGAGGAGTCGGCGCCGGAGCCCGCCGCTGTCTCTCCCCCGGGCAGCCCTCACACGGGCCGGCCTCTCTCCGTTTCTTTCTCCGAGAGCGTCCAGCCGGCCGTCGGGATGATGAGCCAACTGCTGTCCCAGCCGTCCTCCCTGAAGTTTGACAAAAACATCAAGCAGGCCTTCTACAACACTGGGGCGATGATCTTCGTGGCTATCTGCTGCGGGGCGGCTGTCCTGGTGTACTTCATCCTGGAGGCCTTCCTCCGCCCGCTGCTCTGGGCAGTGCTCTGCGGCACCTTCCTCCACCCTTTCAAGCACTCCCTGGCTCGGCTCGGCCGCTCGTGGCTCAGCGGCCTGCAGGACACCGGGACGCCCATCGTCGTGGGGACCCTGCTGGTCCCGGTGTGGTGCGTCAACTACGGGGTGGAGGAAATGGGCAAGCTGGTACTAAAGAGGCTGACGGTGCTGCTGGTGATCGGGGCGGGGGCGCCGCTGGCTTACTTCCTCTACCTCTTCTGGAGTGTCATCGGCATGCAGGTGATCCTCGGACATGTCTGCTGGGTCATCGGGGTCCTGCTGGACTGTTTCCACGTTGTGTGGGTGAGTTAACGCGCAGATTCATCGGAGCAGTTCCTCCCGTCACGGTTCAGACAGAAAGCCTGTTGTCAGTCAGGGTGAACAAGTTCAGCTTCATCAGCTGAGCTCAAATTATTCCAAGAAATTCAAATTTCTCTTCCAACTTGGTCAAAAACAGTGAAGAAACACGTTATTATTACTTTATTAATCCCAGAGGAGAGTTAGATACCGGCAATACACTTTTTTTCTTTATATTTTTTGGACTCTGAATGCATTTTTCTATTAAGCGTATTACCAGAAAAGAGCAGAAAAAATTTCAGCCCATTATCTCTAAAGGTTTTTGAGATTTTGGGGGGTGTATCTTGCCACAAACCCACCTTTGAGTAGAAAAAGATGGGGTTTTTGAAAGCCGATTACTTAAAAAATAAATAAATTTGACACTTATTTGTAATGACATCCTTTAAATATAAATAAATCATATCGAAAAACATGAATATGTACAGTATAAATCGTTTACTTTTAAAATGAAGGTTCTTTAAAATATGTAATTTTTAAAAATAAAACAAATTTCAATATTACCCTGACAGCAGAGAATGGCATGTTTGGGATACTATATTAAAAAATATATGTTGAAACCAAGCCCCAAAAACTATTTTGCCCGTCCTGCTATGTGGTCTTAACAGGCTCAATTTTTTGTAGGGGTCTTTATCTTTCAATAAAGATTTATTAGGCCGCAAAACTGCTTCCAAAGCTAATTTGACCGACGGAAAAAAAATTCAAAAATTGACAAAATTAAGTATTTTTTGATCACTCCCCAAACTTGTATTTTTCATCAGATTTCAATAAAACTTCTCTACTACAGATGAATTAGGCTGCTAAATAACATAAAGGCATCCATTTTGGCCATCTTTAATAGTTTCCTTGATATTGCTGGTATGAAATAGGGATTTTTTGTGTTTCTTAAAAAATCTAATTTTAGAGAATTTTTGACTTGCACCAAAATGTTTATTTTTTTATGCATTTCATTGAAACTTCCTTCCTAGATGTCAATTAGGCTGCAGCATCATATAAAAACATTTATTTATGGCTATCTTTAGTAGTTTTTTTTTCTATATTGTTGGGAGAAAATATAGATTTTTTTTTAGATTTCTTTTTTTATGGAAAATTCCCTACTACCGACCATCTGAAAAAGTGCCAAAGAAAGTACAGTTTATTATAAAAAGTGTCTAGAATTTATCATTTTAGTATAGATACAGTCACTTCAACATGCCGCCGCCCACATAATGATGCCCTGGGTGGTTGCCCATGCCTCCCATATCAGAAACCACCACTGAGCATATCTGCTAACGCGCTTCATGTCCTTGTTGCACAAATTGCATAAAATCAGCACAAACCTAAACCACACAAATACAGGTCATCATGCATAATTCCCGTGGCCCATAAAAACAGCGGATCTAATTCGCTTTTTTAAAATTATTAAACACCGGTACCTATTATAATGGGCAGAAATGTAAAACAGTTATGTACAGCCTCTTAGTTTTATATCAGAAAATAATACAAAAAGGGCCATAGGTTACTGTTTGGGCACATTTAATTATAAAATATTCGCACTGAAAAATAAACGTGATTTTTAAAAGTGTATTTGTTTTAATCAGATTCTTAAAACATGATAACCTTGAGCAAAAGTACAACAGAATTACTGTACTTCCACAGAACTTTTTTTTTCTTTTTTTTTACCATTTTCTAAGTGCTTTTATGTAAAGTAGGAACAAACTGACGTTCTTACTCCTGTTAAGATAAAATATTGTACATCACAATGTAACAGTTCACTTTTTCTGTTAATATTTCAGTAGAGAAAACGCAAAGATGTGGAAATAGTAACTAAATGAAGTAATAAATTGGTTTTAGCTTCTTCTGTGCTGTGCTCTTTTAATTTACCTGGCCCTGCTTATTATACATACAATAACATAAGCTTTTAGCATATAGTTCATACGTACTACTGTAAGTAAAAAGTTTTAGATCAGCCTCTCTTTAGACTCATAAATTACATAAAATATGATCTTGGATGCCTCAGCATAAACAGTTGACTCAATTACACGATTTAATTTGCTTGTTGCCTGATCTAATTTTCTGTATTTTCAGTGTCTGACTGATCAAAAATCTTATTATTCCAAACCTGCCCCACAAACAAATCCAAATTAGATTAAATGTTCCTTAGGCTCTGTGGTGAGTTTGAATATGTCTGGCTATGGATAGAAAATGGAACACTGGTGCTGTGAAAAAGTATTTATAACAACAAACTTTGATAGATGTGTTTATAGAGAAAATCTATTAATATTAATAGATGGAATAATAGAACTTGAAGCCTTAGAGTGAACTTAAATGAGCCAAGAAATCTCAAAATGTCTTGTTTGTTTTATTGTTTTGCTCCTTTAGGTGTGCAGTGTCGTGTTTGGCTACTTGCTGGCCGTCTGTCTCAAGTGGAGTCCCCAGACTGAGTGCTACCTGAGAGCCATGGCGCTTCCCGTCTGGGCTGTTCTGCTCTTCTACATCGGTGAGTCTGGACCTGCTCAGGCACATTTTCACATTTTTTTACACAAACTGCCTCTTTTTCCCTCTGCGGTTTGGCGGTAGGAGGGGAATTTAATCTCCCACATCTCACCCGAGTGCAAGAGGCGTAAGAGAATGTCTTGTCCCCACACGTCCCCTGGACTGAGCATGTGTGGAGTCGCATAGTAAGATGAGGAAGTCTGGCTGTATTTTTAGCACACTTCTAAGGTTAGAAAGCACTGCTGACCTTCAAGTGAGAAATATTAAAAGTGACTACAAGCTGTCCAGAAGTGGTAGCAGCATTGTTGTAGTGTTGCCAGCTCAAACAGAGCAAAACCACTGCCTGAAAACTCACATTTTTTTTAAATCAAACTCATGACTGAAACAGGTTTCTCTGTGTTTTGATACATCGTCATCACTCACATTTCTCTTATCTGATTTCAGTTTCTCTGACCGGGTCGTGGAGGGTGCCGATATTTATGGTGGTGGTGGCGCTCCTCATTGTGGGCTCCCTGGAGAAACCCCCTGTTCCAGGAAAAGGTAAAGTCGTATGTGCTCAAATATACTTCCAAATATGGCAAACAAGAGGAAGGAAGTCATTTAAATACAGAAGACCGACTGAGAAAATGTGTTGATTTGATGGTCATCAGAGATAAGTCAGGGGGTTCTTCACTTTCTGTCTTTTCAACTCGCATACACTTCGTCTTCTTCTTTAGTGATAACAGTACTATTAACTATTACAGAAATAAACGTGTTCTAGAAAAACGTGCAGATGCTCATTTGGAAAGAATCTTTTTGAGTAGCTTTGTGACAGTGATGAGGTCTCGTACTAAAATAACTTGGTATGAATTTGTCCTCCTGGTTGGTCAAGCACAGCCAGACCTCAGATTACGTTACAGCAGCTAGATACTTGGCCAACAGCGGGGTTTTGTGAAAGCAAACGAAAGGAGGCAGTTTGGACAATTGACTTCAGTGAAGACGTAAAGTCCTATTAAAAAAATGCACAGAAAATATTCACAGCTTGGTTTTCAGTGATCTCTGCCTGTGCTTGTTCCTTTTCTCGCCCCACAGGAGAGCTGCCGGGACAGATGCTCTCGCTGGCTGCCAACACGATTTTCATGGCCATTTCCTGCAGCAACCTGCAGCCAAAAGCAGAGTCCAGTGAGGCTTCCAGCACAGGTGGGGAAGCTCCTCTCCATCACCTAAACACCCAAACTTGCTTTAAATAGTGCTTTGTTTATTAATTAGTAATAATAATTAGGTAACCATAGAAGGAAATTAGTTGCCTTTGATTTTATTTAGTGGCATCAGAGTAAAATTGGCTGGAAACTTTTCTCGCTTTATTTTTCTTCCACCTACCCATCATGCACTTCTCTTTGCTGGTTTCTCACATAAAATCACATTAACATAATCTGTACGTTTGTGTTTTTTACATGGAAAAAAAAAGTACACTCAACAGTGTACTTGTGTATTTTCTTTTTCCTTTTTTTAAATTTGTTTTTCTCCCTTCCTTCCTCTCGACGACGGGGTGCCGTCAGTAGGTCCCGTGCCCCCCACGCCGGGCTTCCCTCGCCCCCTAAAGTCCAGCCTCCAGCTGAAAGAGAAAAGCAGTCGGAAGTCCAGCGACATCTACTTCATCTTGCTGGTCTGGGCCATCGTGCTGGTCCAGATGTGGCTCAACTTCTGGATCCTCCAGCTGCTGCCCATCCCTGTGGCTGGTAACACGTAGACCGCACTCATCTGTCGTCACTTCCACATGGAAAGATCCCCTGTAGTTGCGTATTTTGCTACTCTGTTGCTTCAGTTTGGGTGTTGAAGAAGCTGATGGTCCGCTTTGGTGTGAAGAGCTTCGCAGAGCGGACTCTGAGCTTGTGGTGGACCGTGTTGGAGAAGTTCGTATGGGAACGCGAAGAGGCCTTGTTGCCTGGACCAATCAAAGGCCTCGCTCAGTTCCTGCTGCGTGTTGACACCAAGGTAATGCATTCTGGTGGTATGTAGTTACTTTTTATTCTGTGTTGATCACCTGAAATGATCACAAAGCGAAACGTTATATTTCACCGGTACACATTTTGATTTTTCAAACTGTTTAGTGGTCACTTTATCTACAGAAGGTCTTCAGTGGTTAATAAATCAAAAATGTGCTGGGTATCTGCGAAAAGAGTTGCCCATTTAACCCTCGTTCTTAGATTGGAGCCTTTTCACGGGCCTCTTAAATGTTTCACAAAGCAAGTACGTAAGAAACTCACAATAGGCATGTTTAATATGTCAGATATTGTCCAAAACTACATTCTGGTTTTGGAAATAGTTTCAGAGTTAAACACCTCAAAACATATGAGGCTAATGCAATGCTAGTTTTTATTTTTTGCTAGAATTTGCACATTTTGTAGACTGTAAATGACCAGTTCATATTTGTAGAAGTCTAAAATCTGTAGATTCACATTAAACAGAACACAGTGCATTTTAAATTACTTTTAGGATTAGAAAACTGCAGTAGGAATTTTCAAACATAAGCATGCACATTTGTCCTGTGCATGCTTAAAGACTTTTCAGCTTTAAGAAACAGCAAAGTATCATCAGTTTTAGACCTTCACAAGTGACATCGATGACACTGTGGTTTCTCTTGACAACAGATATTTAGTCTAAACAGATGTCTCTTCAGGACAACCTTTTGTTTCCACGCATCAGTCAGACTCGACACACAGAGCTACAGTCTCCTGCAAAGTAACATGCTGCTCCTGCTGGCAATGTTTCCTTGCTGTTCAGTTTTCTCAATTGCTGGGCTAATGTTAGCATAGCATGTTTCCTCTCTTTTTTGTGATAGAACTTGTTAATTCAGCTGGCGATACGCTAATGGGGCTCTAGGTAATGGTGTAGGGACAAAATGTGTTTATTGTGAGTTTACTTTCCTACGTGAACAGCTACGTGCTTTGCTTTGAACTTTAATTAATTTGTTGACTAGCGTTTCAGCTCATTTTTGCAAAGCATGTGATAGTTTTGCAAAACATGCACTCAAAAATAGATCGTGATTAAAACGCCCAATCAAGCAAATTGAAGCCACATGAGTTACCGTCGTCACTGAGTTGAGTTTAGTCAGGGAACTCTGATCCAGTCAAATAAGGACATCCCAAAAAATAGATTTGAGCTTTATTTTTATGAGTCCGGTTGTAACTGAAGACTGAAAAACCTGGGTTACGACCACTGGTATTCATCTTTAATGCAGCCAGTTTAATTTTCAGGCTGTACAAGTGAGTTTACCTTGATTGAAACCTTTATAGATAACTCTACACTCAGTGGTGCCTTGTAGCTACTGATTTGCCATTAAGACTCAGTTTCAGACTCTCAGAGTTATTTCCAGCAGCTGCTGTTGTGGAAAGTTTTAATACACCGACTGTGGATGAAGCAGCCAGCGCCAACTGGAGGAGATGGTGAAGTTAGACCTAAAAATAGAGCTGAATGGGGGGCGAAGTTTGGCAGAATGCTGATCAAATGAACAGAAACAGTTTAATTTGAGATTGTCACGCTTGCTGGTTGTTTTCTTTGCACTGTCGGATTGTATTACCGGTAATGTTCGGTGTCTCCTACAGCATTAGAACGAACACTGTAGACGTTTTTATCACAGATCACTTTTGTGGCATTGGATGCGGCTGTGTGTTTGCACCCGACCCTCTGTGTACAGCCTTTTATGAGATCCTGCCTGCTGCAGTGTGTCCACTCACTGCTTGCACCCAAACAGAGGATGTCTTCTTGTCTTATGGGGGGCGGAGAGGGCATGAGGCGACTGTTGCACATATCTCTCCAATAACAATCTTCCCAATGTCTCTTTGTCTCCTCCCCCAAGCTCTGGCATTGGCTTAACAAGCAGGTAATAAGTGCTTGTGTGTGAGAGAGCACGAGGGTAAAGAATTAACCTCCGTCTTCATGTTGGTGTGTGTGAAGGAGTGAACACACCTGTTAGCTGCTTGGACTGGCTTCTTTTTTTATCCTGCTCCATCCACTGTCATCTCCCTGTCATCTTTGTTTGTTACCTCGCTGCTTTCCTGCTTCCTGTGTTTTTTTTGTTGTTTTTTTTTTATTTTTGCAGGAAGCTGCAGTGGGGAGGTGGAGGTGGTACTTGTTGCCCCCGTCCCCACATACGCTCCCCACCCTCTCGCCACCATCTGTATCTTCCCTGCTTTGATCCAGCTGGCAGATTTGTTTTGAGAGACTGTGTGAGCTGCATGGAGAGATGGCTGATGTAAAGAAAGCGGAGAGGAGTTGGGAGGAGAGGAGTGTTTTTGATCTGCGGGCTCAGAAAGATGATGTTTTAATCATTATGAAGCTTCACTCTGAGAGGCTCTGTGAGAGTTTAGGCTTTAAAGTGCATGCAGTAAATTGTGTGATGGTCAAAAGCTTCTGTTACCATCTGAATAAATTCATTTTGTAACGGAGATAATAAATTTTACTCAAGACATGACTGCCTATCTGAAACATAGAGCTGTTTTAGATCATTTTGTTTGAGGCAGGCGAAGATTAAGATGTCCTCTGAAACGATTAGTCGTGATGAATTGATATTTGAAATAATTTATCAACTAATTTAGTAACTGATTGATTGTTAACTGGAATGTACAGACTCAAAATAGGGAATTTGCTGAAAGACCAACTTGCTCAGAGCAGTAATTAGGCAAAAACTCTACAAAGAATATATACATTTTGCATTTAAAATAAAACAAAAAAAGACCTTAATCTGTGAATCTGTTACCCAGAATTCCTGTAGTGTACGTTTAAGATTCAAATTCTGTAAAAGAAAAAAAAAAATCACGTTAGCTCCTTTTCTATCCAGCTATTCACCAGTTTATCTAAAAATAGTCAACAGATTAACTGTTTTGATGTTTATTGATATTTTACGTAGGCTTTTGTTCTGCCCTGAATGAAAATCTTTGTAAATTGTTCTATGTGTGAATATGCTACTGCATTAAACTAATAATTTATTTCTACCAGAGAAGTTTCGAAATATGTGAAAGGTGCTGTTTTGTATCAATTCTTCAGTTGATTCAAGTTAAGCGTCAGTTTCTTCTAACAGGAACACGACTTGTTTAAAACTGTGGTCTAATTTAAACCCCGTTAGTGGCTTTGTGTATTCCGAGTCAGACATTCACTAAGAGTCTGTTGCTCTGAATATAGTATCACTACTGCAGTACTTTAAATTTGCACTAGATTTATGAGCGACTAGAAGAAATCTATATCATTAGGAACTTAATTTACAGCTTTAATCCTTTTTCATATGTGGTGAGTGTGTCCTTTTTGTAATAAAATTTGGTTATTGGGTTTAATTCACCTCAGTTTGCCAGGTAAAGGTTTACATCTGTAAATTTGCAGCTGTAGTGCAGCAGCTCCTGTACTGACCGCTGCATCATTAACCGTTCATGTAACAATGCACTGATGCGTCTGGACATCTAACAGCTTCCTCCACTCATTTGCTGTGGACTTCAATAAGTTTAATACTTTCTGAGAGGAAATGTGATGATCAATGGAAACACCTGAGAAACCTGAGTTTAAAACCCAAAAATCTGGAAAATAAATGAATCCTTTTGTATCTGAAGTATTTCTTTTTTCTTTTCTTTTTTTTACACATGTGCTGTTACGCGTATGTGGGGTGTAAAACGGAGAGACCGACAGCTTCAAGATAAAGAGTTGTTAGATTTGGATCTGAGAGTCTAATGGGGTAATTGAACAAAAACAAAACGTTAAAATATAGTTTTTTTTTGTCCTGAGCGACCTCATTACAGGATCTCTCCACAGTCGGGGACGCTTCCATAATAAGATCTTCATGATTCTGGGCTAAAGTCACAACTATTTACCAGCTCCTGAATCGGATTAAAAGTACGATCCATTTGATTTAGCCCTTCCCGGCTGGAATAACACACAGCTGATAAAATGTGGTTGAACCAACTGGTTTTAAAAGCAGAAATCAGCTGAATCAGAAGATTGTAACTTGAGTTTAAGAGCATGCATTTTATGTTTCCAGACCTGCACACTTCAGGCTTAATAAATCAGCCACCTTTTATCTTTGGGTTTAAAACCTGAAATGGGGAAGACGCAGGTTTCTCCGTGTGTCTGGTCACTGTGGCGTTGAACTCTGCTAAAGTATCTTCTCCGTCTCCTTGCCAGATGATCGTGTGGCTGGAGCGATCGCTGGACAAAATCATCAGCATCTTCATCATCTTCCTCCTGGTCACAGGGACTCTGCTCATGGCTCTTCTGCTCACTGCTATGGTCAGTTTTTGTTCTGTATTCAACTCTCACACTTATCACGTCCAAACGTCTCCCTGGATTCCAAAGCAGCTTCATCTCACTCCTTAGGTTCATCACGAAAGCGCTCACATCGTTGAAGTTGCCAGTAACCTCATCAACGAGACTCTTTCCAACCATCCAGAATGGGCTAAGTAAGGCATTTTTTTTTTAAATCATCTATCTTTGCTTTTTTTTTTTAATGTTTCTACATTTAATGATTGTTTTTTTTTTCTTTCTTATGTTTCCTCCTCTAGTTTGCTTCCAGAAGCTCGTGTCGTGCAGAAAGCTCTGAATTCAGCTGCTACTAATGTCTATCAGCACGGGAGAGAATGGATAACACAGAAGGTTAGAAGGTTTTGGTTTATTCTAAATGTGAAAAAAAATAAATAAAAAAAATAAAGTCTGACAGGCTGAAGCTCAAGACAACTTTAACTTTGCGTTCAGCTTCAAAAGATGTTGGGGGATAAGGTGAACAACACAGCGATGATCGAGAAGCAGGTGTTGGAGCTTTGGGACCGACTTTACCACTCCTGGTTCGTGAAGGTGTGTGACACCAGCCGCCTGTTAATCTGCATGTTTTCGATTCGTATGTGGAATTATCATCGGCTCGTTGCTGCAGAACGTGACCCACAGCGGGCGGCACCGCGTGCAGAAGAACATGGCGCACAGACAGAACAGTTGGCTGGGGGACATCCTGGACTGGAAGGACATCGCCTCTTTCGTGCAGGAAAACATCGAGACGCTGCTGTCTGTAAGATCAGAATTTGTCTGAATTTACAGATTTATAATGTATTTGCATTGAACACAGCCTCCTCCTGCAGGAGTTTGTCTGAAGACCTTTGACGCATTTTCAACATGCATCTATTAAACCTGAAAAAAAAAAAAAAATGAAACAACGGATGAACATGTAGAAAAACGCTGTTTAAAATACCAGGACATTTAAAAAGGAAAACTTGATCCGCACACCTCTAATTTAACAGACTATTTGGAAATCCGGTTTCCCTCTGGATGCTCGTGTTTACCTTCTTCTTCTTCTTCTTCTTCTTGTCCTGTAGATCCTGGAGTCTCTGTGGGTGGTGATGAGCAGGAACGTCGGCCTCCTCTTCTCCACCACCACCACCCTCTTCACCGTGTTGTTCCACAGCGGCACGGCGCTGCTCAACTTTGCGCTGAGTCTGGTATGAATCACCGGGTGAACCAGCTCAAAAACACTCAGGGGAGCTTTTCCTCCTTTGATTTTCTGCTGCTGTTGGGCTTATGAAAGATGTTCCATCATCGGAAGAGTCTCAGCTCACACCTTCCCCCGATAACCAGACTTATTCCGACATAATCCGAAAGATTTACACACTGCAAAAACACAAAATCTTACAAAGTGTTATTGGTCTAGTTTCCAGTAGCCCAAAAATACAAATGTAGTTGTTTTTTTTTTTTTGCGGTCTGTTTGATAGATAATAAGATCGTTTTTGCAGTGTTAGGCCCATGAGGAGGTTTTTATTCAGCTCCGGTGCTGATGTGTGGTCTCTGCTGCCATGCAGGTGATTTTCCTCACCACTCTGTTCTACCTGCTGAGCTCCAGCGGCGAATACTACAAACCCGTCAAATGGGTCATCAACCTGACGCCGCTCTCGCAGCCCGGACCCTCCTCCAACATCATCGGCCAGTCCGTGGAGGAGGCCATCAGGTTTGCGTCGCGACTGCGAATAATAATGAGACACGAAAGACCTTCCTTCACGTGGATGACGGTCGATGTTTGCGTTACAGAGGGGTGTTCGACGCCTCCTTCAAAATGGCGGGCTTCTACGGCCTCTACACCTGGCTCACTCACACCATCTTCGGCATCAACATCGTCTTCATTCCCTCCGGTGAGTCCGTGTGTTTGCAGCAGATTGCGGTGTTGTTATTACCAAAACGCTCGGTGCTGAGTGGCTCTTTCGTTGCCGGCCCGCAGCTCTGGCCGCCATCTTGGGCGCCGTGCCTTTCCTGGGGACGTACTGGGCGGCGGTGCCGGCTGTGTGCGACCTGTGGCTGGCTCAGGGCGAAGGGGTCAAGGCCGCGCTGCTGCTCATCTGCCATCTGCTCCCGACGTATTTTGTGGACACGGCCATCTATTCGGATATATCGGGGTATGTTTGCATGCACGGCTCTGAAAAAAAAAAAAACCCCAAAAAAACCTGATAAACAAATCCAGATCTGGAACTTTATGGCTGTAAAATGCAAATATTACAGCAGATGTTTAACAAAGTTTTTTTTTTTTTTTATTTGAAAGGGACTTTCCTAATTAAATAAAGGTCAAACTAAAAATTTATTTGTTTATATTTTTACATAAACTGCTGCTTGAGAGAGTCCTAAAAAATTGCGTCTTGCGGAAAAGTGTTGACACCCTTCAGTTTATTCACATTGTGTCACGTTGCATATTTTGGTATGTAAATTAACCTAAAAATAAGAATAGTTGTCCTCTTCCTGGCCTTAAAGGTTTGCTCAAAAACATTAATGAACAAACAGCATCATGAAGACCAAGGAGAGCAGACAGGGGTTTAGGAGTAACTTTGATTTCAAGTTACTGAGAAAAACAAAACTAAACAAAAACAGACATTCATTCTCCAAATCGTTCAAAATGAATTACAACCTGCTTTAGTGTTCATCTCCATACGTTATACATTTTTTAAAGTGTCGGTTCCTTTTCTCAGGGGCGGCCATCCGTACCTCACAGGCCTGGCAGTCGCAGGTGGAGCGTACTATCTTGGCCTGGAGGGGGCGATAATCGGCCCCATCCTCCTCTGCATCCTGGTGGTGGCAGCAAACATCTACAGCGCCATGCTGATGAGTCCCAGCTCTGCACTCCCCACACCAGTCCAGCCGAACTGGCCCACACACCCCATGAGGTACACACACACACGCACGCACACACACACACACACACACACACACACACCTACAGCTGATTAAGCCATCCCAGTTTATCCGGTTCTTCCTTCATTGTCCTCTCGTCTTGAAGTACCTTTGCAGAGTCCACTCCCTCTGTGCTGAAGACGACCTCTGACTCAAAGTGAGGGTGTGTATCCCTGCAGAACGTCACACGGGTCAGGGACTCGCTTCCCGCCTGGCAGCCTCCAGAAGCTCGACCCGGACCAAGAAGAAGAAGAGGAGGAGACGCTGCGATTGCCGGTGCTGTCCCAGAGCGTCCCAGAGCCAGCAGGCATCCTGATCCCAAATCCAGAGCAACGCCAGCACTCTGCGTTTCCGATGAGAAGTCAATTTCCATCACCTTTCAGAACTCAGTGCCTAATTTATTTTGTAATATTGAAC